ATTGTTTATATAGTACATAATAGTTGTGTAATATATATATATATATATATATATATATATATAATATTTGAAGTATATTATAGTTGTATAAATGTTATTTATATAGTATAGTACTTGTATATTAGTATTATGTTATATACAACGTATATAGCTATATATACATATAGAAAAATATTTGGACATGCATAGTATATATGATGTATTTCATACATACATTAATTTTATGATTTAGTCTGTCGTATATTTATCGTATAAATATCACTTTTTACGGAATATAATATTGTTGTATAATTATTATATATATAACATGTACTTGTATATTACTATTGTAATACATCTTATATAGATGATATATCTATATTATATATCATCAACCCTGAAAAAATCAAAAAGGAAAACTGAATATATAAAATATCTTTTTATACTTGTGGCTTACATCTGTCCATTCCAGTTGCTATTGCAAATATTAATACAAAAAGATGAAAAGTGAAAAAAAAAATAATGAATTTACCTCTTAATATATATGAATTTTTTCATATGCACTAAATCATCTATAAATATGATTATAATACATTTTAGAATGGAATCTGTTCAATATATATATGATTAGAATATATTCAGAATATACTTTAGGTGAAATGAAGAAAACAAGAGGAGAGAGACGATGAAATTTAGGATAGAACATAAGAGGAGAGAGTGTAACATATTCCATGATTTGTGCCTCATTAATTGTGTGAATAATTTATACGATATGCTAATATTATAAAAAAATCTATCATTTTTTGAATAAAAAACAAATGATATTATTTTCTTAAATATTTTTTTAAAGATGCTGAGCCGTGTAACTTTCTCATTTTCTTATCAGTATATGCGTTCGATCTTTATACATATTTTGGATACTTGATTTTGTTATGCATGTATGTCATGCATCGTATCGGAGTATGGTGGATGAAGTGGAGTCTCGCTTCCGGTGTTTTGTGTGATAAGAATATACGACTGAAACTTAAATGTAAGTTCTGCAAAGTAGTGATTAGACCGACTATGTTGTATGAGACAAAATGTTGGCCGGTCATGAATTCTTATGTCCAGAAAACGAAAGTAGCTGAGATGAGGATGTTGAGATGCATGTGTGAGCATACTAAGTTAGATAAGATTAGAAATGAAGTCACTTGGGATAAGGTGCGTGTGGCCCCCGTGGAGGATAAGATGCGAGGCGGAAGGTTGAGATGATTCGGGCATGTTAAGACGAGAAGCACAAAAGCCCATGTAAGGAGGTGTGATAGACTAGCCTTGGGG